GATCCTTCCGCCTCAACCTCCCGAGTAGGTAGGACTATAGGTGTGCACCATTGTGCCCGGCTTAAATTCTATAATTCTTTCTATATTCGGCTAAAACTTATCTCCTCTAATACCAATCTGGCTTCATTAAGAATCTTTTCCTCTTGATACTTCTATAGCATTAATGGTATATTCCATACATTATTATACTTTATGTTATAGTATCTTGAGTTTTATGTTCATAACTATATTGTAAATTACTCATGACCAAAAAAGAGAGGTATGTGCTACCTCTTTTAAATTTCTCACAGTATTTTAGTACCATGCTGGGGAAATAGTAGATGTCTAAAAGGTGACTTGAAATAAAGGAAAAATTGTGTGAGATTAAGAGTCCAAAAATATGTACTCATATCTTAAAATTTTATTTTCTCTCTACTCCAAGATCCTTCTTTTCTTGGCGATGTAAATACTGCTGCATCTGAGCACAAGGGCTGGATCTGTTATCGCTAAAGCACTAAAGTCAGGTAACAAGGGAAAGCAGCATGTGCACATTTATGGTAGAGGTGAAAGGAGTTTAAGGGGTGAGAAAAGATGAGAAAAGAAGGCAAATGTACATTGTCTCACAATGTTTGCTCTACCCATAGAAAAATGGTATAGTGCTGGTATTGAAAGCTGGGGGTCAATTCTTCTGCTTGGGAATTTATTGGTGCAGTTTGATCTGAATAAACATTGGACACTGTGCACAATACAAGCCAGGCCCTGGTAGGGATACAAAGAAGATGAACATGCAGTTCTTACCCTTGCTGAGTTTACTGTTTAGTGATTCAGGGTGCTGGCAGGTATACATGCACACATATGGGAGAGAATATATTAGGGCAGGCTTCATGGAGGTGTTATTTAAACTGGTACTGAAAGAAGAGGTGGATTTTTACAGAGCTGTAACTTAAGGGAGATAGGAAAGCTGAAGAAAGTTTTTTGGAGTAGTTTCTAAGTATAAACATAAAAAGGGAAGGGGGGTATACTTCTATTTATAGCTTGCTTTATTCTCAGAAAAAAAGTGGTTTATAGAAATACTGTAAACCACTGCCCTCTGATTTTAATACACTACTAGCAGCTTTATGATGCCACCTCCTTCTTTGCCTCTTTCTTTTTAAAATAAGAGACAGGGTCTTGCTCTGTTGCCTGGGCTGGAGTGCAGTGGTGTGATCATAGCTCACTATAGTCTTGAACTCCCGGGCTCAAGCAATCCTCCCTCCTCAGCCTCCTGAGTAGCTGGGACTACTGGCATGTGCCACTACACCTGGCTAATTTAAAAAAATTGTTTTGTAGAGATGGGGGTCTCACTATTTTGTCCAGGCTGGTCTCGAACTCCTGGCCTCAAGCAATCCTCCCACCTTGGCCTCCCAAAGTGCTGGAATTACAGGCGTGAGCCACCACACCCAGCCCTCTTCTGCCTTTTGATAGGCATGCACCAGCTGAAGGGAGATTCTCTAAAGAGGAGATAGGAGTTTCTAGCAATTTAAGAGGCAAAGGACAGCCACTCCAAGGAAAAAACAATTGTGTGAAAAATATGATTTCTGGCAAAGACCTAATAGAAATATGCTGAGTGAGAATGAAGATGGCAAACTAGAAAGCATGCTCAGCAAACCAACTACTTTAGGAAACACAATTTGTGGATGGGGGTAAAAGGATTAAGTAGTAAAACCAACCTGACCACGGTGCTTTTTTGCTTCAAACAGTTTAGTAAGGCAGGATCTGTGCACCACCTGTATGTGAAGCCAAGAGAAAAAGCCAATAGATTACCCAGCTTCAGCATATTTGGAATGAGCCATTCTCTCCAATTATTTCTGTCCTTTCTGTGTTCCCCTTATATATTTACCTTACATCTGGCCCCTTTTCTATTCCCTTTTTTCCTCCCTTTCTTTTTTGTGTCTACATATTTTTTCCCTCTCTTATTAATTTCTTTTTTTTGTTGTTCTTAAAAGAAAAACAGAAACCAGTCTAAGTATTTAAAGGAGAGGGAATTTCCCAGGCAGTGGCAATAAAAGTGATAGAGGGGTTGAGAAGCCAACCATGAGACATAAAGGCAAGGGGGCCTAAAGATTACCAGTGCCCCAGGCTGGAAGAATAAAAGGAACCAATGATATTATTGGAGCCCAGGGTCTAGGGTCACCAGCAGGATACTGGAGCCAGAGAAGAGCTGCAACCACTGCCAGAGATGCCCTGCAAGGCAGAGAGAGGTGGCTTGAATACTCAGGCTGGGCTTTTCTTCCCAGCCTCCAAATCCTGCCAGTGCCTCCCACTGGCTGAACCTAGGCAGAAGCCAGCTGATTATGGAGTGAGAGCCTGCAGGGGTCAGTTCCCTACAATACAGAGCAGAGACAGATGAGGTAAGACTATGAGGAAAGCAGGCCAGGAATGGTACAAAAGGCAAGGACTTTGTTTCAAAGTTTGAATTTTTAATACTTCATTAAACTAGGATAACAAGTTCAAATCTTACCTACTCCAAGAATATAAAAGCAAAATTAGTGCAACCTACCATGATTGTACTCAACACAAAGCATAATATTGGTTTTTTAAAAACAATTCATTTTGATCACACTACAGATCAGAATACCACATGAGAAATGAGGAAGCAAAGAAAAGAATCTAACACAGAGAACCTAACACACAAGAAGGGCGGCAGGAGACAGAGGCCAACATTCACATAAATCCTGACCTGGGTATGAAGAGAAAAAGATTAAAGAAAAAGGAAAAAGAAAAAGACAGAAAAGCATGGAAACTAAAGGAAATCTGGGGGGGAAATCAGGTAAGAGTAACACAGTGAGAAGTGATTATAAAAATGATGGAAAATGGTGCAGGCAAAGATAGGGTAAGGAGATTAGAGGTTAGGAAGGTTGACAATGAACAGGAGGGTCAGTATATAATGGTGCAGAAAGTTTTTCTGAAAGAAAGACACATTTCTCTCTGCGAAGTTTAACTGATATATCTTTGCTCTACCAAATTACCTTCCTTCTCTCCTCAGTCACCCTCCTGAGATGCATGCTACCATGCAGATGTGCTCCTATTGTGGACACAGCTGCAATGTGGATTCTTTTTGAGACTCTATGTCCGCTGGCAACATTCTCTCCCCCACCCTGACCCCCATTTAAAACTGGGATGAGAAACCAGCTATGCGGAAAATAAGTAAAATGAATGGTTGTAATGGCAAAGCAAGCAGAAATTCTAGCTGCCTACGGCTGCTGGTTTTATCCCCACACCTTAAGTACATGAATATGAATTAGGAATCTCCTATACTCTTGCTCCCCTTCAGTCAATGCTAATCAATCTAAAAGCTTAGCAAGTAATTGTAATTTAAAATTTACAAACTGTATAATAACCCAACAATGACATTTTACTCCACAGTACCTCTGGAGCAAGGGCCTTACAGTATCCCAATACTCCTGGAAGAGCAGGAACAAATTTGTAGGTAAAGACAGATAGCTACAGAGTGCACTGTACTCTCCTTCTGTGGAATCTGCAAGAGAATAAAAACACATTTAATAAGCTCATTATTCTTACCTGGTCAATCTGTTTGAATAGAGTTTCTTCACCATTTATGTTCATTTCTATAATCTTTATATATGGAGTATATTTTGTACTCTATAAAACCATGGGTGGCAAATAATCCACAATGATCCTTTTAAAACATAAATCTGATAGAGTCACTCTCCTGATCAGATGGCTCCAATGTCTAACCATTACACTTAGTATAAAATACAAAGTCCTTATCACAGCCCGAAGGCCCTACATGATCTGCCCCTGCCTGCGTCTTGGACCTCATCTACTGCTGCCCTCCTCGTTCATTAGGCTTCAGCCTTACTCACGTCTTTGCTGTTCTTTGACTACACCAAGCAAAGCCTTTGGATTTATTATTTCTTCTGTGTAAGCATACTCTTCCTTGAGCTCAATGCCATCTATGTAGCTCTTTGTTCAATGTCTCCTCACAGAGAAATCTCCCATGACTACCTATCTCAAAGAGCTCCCCACTTTGTCCCCAGTACTCTCTATTCCCATGACCTGCTTTATTTTTCTTAGCAGTATTTATCACTATGACATTATATTGTTAACATATATATTTATCTGTTTGTTTATGTTTGGTCTCCTCCCAATAAAGGAATTTTATTTTATTCACTGCTGTACTGTAGCACTTACTAGATAGATAAATACGTGATTCTTGTGTGTGTGCAAACAGCACATCTGTACTGGCAACTACTTGGAAAGTGGCATCCTATTTTATATTAAGGACATTAAATATGAAATGTCTGATTTCAAATCAAAAGTGCAGTTTATTATATCTCAAACAAGAAACAGTACAATTAGTCAAAGTATGCGCCTAAACTATCGACACAGTTTTGCCATCTTAACAGCTTGTTTATGCCAGCAGTGAAGAAGCCTAGAGAGCAAGTAACGATGAAATCTCGAAAGGCATTTTCCATAGCTTGTTGAGAATTGAATAATTTTCCTTCCAAGAAGTGGCCCAAAGCCTGGAAGATGTGGTAGTCAGTTGCTGCAAGGTTTGGTGAATATGGTGGATGACAGAGAGTTTCTAAGTCCAGTCTCTGTATAATAGTTTGAGCAGTATTGTTTGTACAACATGTGTTTGAGCTTTTGTCTTGCAAGAGCATTGGCCTGTCTCTATTGATCTATCTTGGCTGCTTAATTGCAAGCATCCTCATCATTTCATCCAGTTGGTTGCATCAGATATTTGCTGTAATTGGTGGACCACGTTTCATGAAGTTTTAGTGAATAATACCAGTGCTGGACCACCAGACACCATTAGTTTTTTTGATGAATATTTGGTTTTGGACTGTTTTGGCACTTGATCTTTATCCAACCATTGTGCCGAACACTTGCAATCGTCAACAAGAATCCATTTTTCATCACACGTAACAATACAGTATAGAAATGATTCGCCTTCATGTCATGACAGCAAAGAAAGGCAAGCTTCTAGACAATTTCTCTTCTGATGCTCATTTAATTCACGCAGATTTATCCAGCTTCTTTACATTGCCCACTTGTTTAAAATGGTCCAATATTGTTGGAATAGTAATGTCAAACCTTGCTGCTAATTCATGCATAGGCTGAGATGGATTCGCTTCCACTATAGCTTTCAGCTCATCATTATCCACCTTGGTCTGTGGTTGCCCACGTGGCTCATTTTCAAGATTAAAATCACCAGAAGGGAACTTCTCAAACCATGGATGTACTGTGTGTTCATTAGTTCCCAAACACTTCATTGATATTTCGAGCTCTCTGTAGTGCATTGGTTCCATGATGGAACTCATACTGGAAAATAACCTGAATTTTTGATCTATCCATGGTTTCACAAAAATTGCTCTAAAAAAAAATTTGAAGGATAACCATAAGCCAAAAAATGTGTTTGAAAGATTTAGGATGTACCTTCACAATAAACATAAAACAAGAAGTGTCAAAACAAGAACTGTAAGAGATACCAACTGTCAAACTTAGTACTTAAGGAAATCGGACATTTCATACTTAATAACCTAAATAGATTAATAGAACCATGACAAATCTAGATCACATAAACCCTACTGAGCTGAGTTCAAGATAAAGAAGCTGACAGCCAGTAAAGGTAACCTGGTCAGTTTATTCTATAAAGGACAAAAGAAAGAATCTCTGAGTAATTTTGATGACTCTTCCAAAATCATACAAATGTTCTGATTTTTACCCATACAAAGCTACCAGGAAGCTTCCTCTACTTAGGTCTAGATTTATAGGCAAGTAAATGAGAAAGAAAATAAACCTGGTGCTTAAATTTATATGACCTTGGTTGGTTCCAGTGGCCTTTACCAGCATCATTTTAATTCCTTAATATAGTCAAATATGTTCAAAATTCAAATAACCAAGCATACAATGAAGTCTTCCTCCTACTTACACAAACAGTTCTCTTCCCTAAAGACAACCATTTCTAATTATAGTACAGTATAGTTTCTAATTATTTGTATATCCTATCCAATTATATTCTGCATGCAGGCCTTTTATAAGCTCAAGCACATAAACTATACATAGGCAGGAGCCAAGAGTAGGTCTTGCAGATTATAAGGCTTATCTGATTTTTGACCTCACCTTTAACCTACACCAGGGCAGGGGAACACGTTTGGCGTGAACACAGATGAAAGAGGTGGGGAGTGGAGAAGTGGTTTTGCCTGCTCTAACTTTGTATTCTTGATCTTAAAGGTAAAAACAAAAAAAGTTTCCCATTTTCTACTCTGTGATTTCATTTTCCTACTTACTGGTAAGTAGTTCTTCAGGTGGAGTTACCCCAAGTAAATAATGGAAAAACAACGCAGCACAGCGAAGGAAAGGGGTGATGCCATTCTTCAAGGAGACCCACAAATACCAGCCAGGAATACTACACCCAATGAAGCTAAGAGACAATAATTCCAGAACAGAACAGAATACTTATCAGACTAAAACCACCAGATTTTTAAAACATCCCCTTTCAAAAATATAAACATTTTAAATGATTTACTATCCATGTAATTTTTAAACATTTAAAACACAATATTTAACTAGCTAATAGCTCCAGTGTTTAAATCTCCTAAAGAAAATCACAAATCTTGCATCTTTGACTATGTAGATATTTTTCTTTTTTTATATTGTCTTGTGAACCTACCAAATGATCAAATCAAGTGCAGATTTCTTTGTATTTGAGTAGACAGGTATCTACTGAGTAGGACACTCATTCATTCACTTGAGACAGGGTATCATTCTGTTGCTCGGGCTAGAGTGCAGAGGTATCATCATAGCTCACTACAACCTTAAACCCTTGGGCTCAAGCTATCCTCTTGCCTCAGCCTCCAGAGTAACTAGGACTATAGGCACATCACCATGCCCAACTAATTTTTAAATTCGTTTGTAGGGACAAGGTCTTACTATGTTGCTCAGGCTAGTCTCAAACTCCTCAGTCTTCCAAAGTGCTAGGATTATAGGCATGAGCCACTGCACTTGGTCCACTATGTAGATTTCTAAGGCAAAACTACTCTCTTCATGTCCTTAGGTGGAGATCAAAAATAAAGCAAAACAAAAATAAAAAGGCAACCAAAAAATCTACTTTAAAGAAACTTCACTCTTTAAGAAAAAAAGTATACTCTCCAACATAAAACTTAAAGCTTACTAAAACTTTCATGTTTTTTTTGAGATTAAAAACCTTTGTAATGAAATGTGGAAAAGAAAAATTTATCAATAACTAACCACAGCAACTGATTTAGCTGAAAAAAATTCATACTTCCCTGATGTTTGTATTAAAATTGACTGGTGATTTATAGGGCTGTGGAATTACTCTGTATGATACTGTAATGGTACAGCACAAAGAGTGAAACCTGAAGTAAACTATGGATTTTAATTAATAATAACATACCAAGATTGGTCCAACACTCATGACAAACGTACCACCCTGATGCAAAATGTTAATAATAGAGGAAACTGGTTGCGGGGAGGGAGCATTTTCTGCTCAATTTTTCTATAAACCTCAAGTGGCTCTAAAAAAGAAAGTCTATTAACTTAAAAAAATAAAAAGGCTGATGAGTAAGATGAAAATGAGGGGAACTTAGCAGCAGATGAAGTTCAGCAGAGCACTCCTATTTACACATATATTTATTATTATTAGTTATGTGTATATGTATAATGTATGTAATTATATATTATACAAAAATATATGTACATATTATATGTATGTTATGTACACATTAAAATATAAATGTCAATACATTTCACACATTACTTACAACAGCCTTAAAATTGTGTAATTAAAGTGCATTGAACACATCAACTATATGGGTCATTATAAAAGGATAAACCTATTTTCTACATTTATTTAAATTCTAATTATTGTCAATTTTAAAAATTCTATCATCCTTTGCCTATGTTCCAAAATCAGTTTATAAGAGTAGAGATGTGTCAAATTTGTTTTAGACTCAGAAACAAATAAGTGTGTAGCTGTAATTCCAACCTACTACCTTTTACTTCAAGGTAAAATCATCAAATTAAGTTTTCTTCACTGGAAGCCTACCCTGTAGCAAACAAAGTCACATGCTAAAAGCCCTTAATTGATTTTTTAAAATTGGAGTTAAAATGATTCAAAAGTTATACTGCCAAAGAACTGAACAAGATGTGGAATTATTAAAACAATAGCAGATTGGACTAATGGACTGCTACTCACCCACTTGTATATTGAGAAATTTCTGCAAAGAAAGAAGATGCAGAACGAGCCTCTTCACTGTCTTCTTGAACCTGAGCAAGGGGGAGGCCTAAAAAAGAAATTCTGCAAGATGAATTTATGTATTTACTTTTCAGTTTACAAATTACAACTCAATTTCATGGTTCCAAGATAATGAACAATGTTAATACAACTGAAGTTCTTTCCCTTGTTCTCAATCTAAATAGTTGATTTTTTTTTTTTTTTTTTTGACAAAGTCTCACTGTGTTGCCTGGGCTAGAGTGCCGTGGCGTCAGCCTAGCTCACAGCAACCTCTAACTCCTGGGCTCAAGCAATCCTTCTGCCTCAGCCTCCCGAGTAGCTGAGACTACAGGCATGCGCCACCATGCCCGGCTAATTTTTTCTACATATTTTTAGTTGTCCGGTTAATTTCTTTCTATTTTTAGTAGAGACGGGGTCTCGCTCTTGCTCAGGCTAGTCTCGAACTCCTGAGCTCAAACAATCCACCTGCCTCGGCCTCCCAGAGTGCTAGGATTACAGGTGTGAGCCACCACGCCCGGCCTCTTTTTTTTTTTTTTTTTTTTTGAGACAGGGCCTTGCTGCGTTGCCCGGGTTAAGGTTCAGTGCCATCACTATAGCTCACTGCAACCTCAAACTCCTGGGCTCAAGCAATGTTTCTGCCTCAGACTCCTGAATAGCTGGGGCTCCAGGCCCATACCAGCTAATTTTTCTATTTTTTGTAGAGATGGGTCTCGCTCTTGGTTAGGCTGGTCTTGAATTCCTGGCCTCAAGCAATCCTCCTGCCTCAGCCTCCCAAAGTGCTAGGATTACAGGCGTGAGCCACCGTGCCCCGCCAATAGTTGATTCTAAATATTAAAATTGTTAGGTAAACTTTGTTTACCTGTACATAGGCTGAAGAAGCAAATAGGGAAGAATCACTAAACATGCATGTTTAATATTTACTTGCCAAACATGCATGTTTAATATTTACTTCATTATAATATGACCAGAGTAATAAATTAGTGGTCATCTTTCTGTTCTGGGTTCCTAGGAAACAGCCAGCAGGTAGAAATTCAACCTCTAGAAATAGGGAAGTTGGTGGCTGTACTGCCTTCATGTTCAGAGTCCCATAAAAAGAACTTTGTGAGGGCATTTTCCTCCACTGACCTATCCTTGACAAGGACCGTCCTAAACCTTTCTAACAATTGCCAACTCTGCCACTTACAGTAAGACTCTGGTAAGCCACTTAAGTGGCTTATTATTGTAGTATTATTGTATTAAAATGGAGATAAAAATGCCTACTTTGCAGTTTGCTGTGAGGGATGGTTATAGCACATTTGAATAGTGCTCTATTGTTTTAAAAATGCTTTTGTTTATGCATTAATTTATCTGAAAGGTCACAATTAAAATTGCCCTGAGTAATTTTATCTTATCTAGAATGAATATTGCTATTCCTCTTCATTCTCCAAATAAGATCTCTTTAGGAAATATGTTTTAAAAAATGGAAGAAAGCATATCACAGGTTCATATTGATTTTTTCAATTCAAATGTTAGAGTTCAATATTTGCATATGATTTTTTTTTTTTTTGGTTCAAGGTAAATTTTACATGTCATGAAATGGGCAAATATTAAGTTCTCCAACTGATGAGTTTGCAAATGCATACACCCATGAAATAAGATATTTTTAATCAATAAACTTTATTTTAGAGCAATTTAGGTTTACAGTAAAATTGAGCAGAGAGTACAGAGGGTTCTCATATACCCTCTGTTCCTATAAATGTACAACTTCCCCCACTATCAACATCCAGCACTGGAGTAGTACATTTGTTATAATCAACTGCCATATCATTATCACCCCAAATCCATAGTTTGCATTAGGACTCATTCTTGGTGTTGTACATTCTATGGGTTTGGACAAATGTACAATGACATGTATGCACCATTGCAGAATTGTACAGAACGTTTCACTGTCTTAAAAATCCTCTGTGCTATGCCTATTCATCCCTCTCCCAGCCCCTGACGACCACTTATCTTTTTACTGTCTTCATAGTTTTGCCTTCTCCAGAGTGTCATATAGTTGGATTCATATTGTATGTAGCCTTTTCAGATTGCCTTCATTCAGTTAGTAACAGGCATTTAAGTTTTTTCTTTATCTTTTCATGGCTTGATAGCTCATTTCTTTTTAATACTTAATAATATTTCATTGTCTGGATATACCATGATTTATTTATCCATTCACCTATTTTTTTTTTTTTTTTGAGACAGAGTCTCACTTTGTTGCCCGGGCTACAGTGAGTGCCGTGGCGTCAGCCTAGCTCACAGCAACCTCATACTCCTGGGCTCAAGCAATCCTACTGCCTCAGCCTCCCAAGTAGGTGGGACTACAGGCATGTGCCACCATGCCCGGCTAATTTTTTTTCTATATATTTTTAGCTGTCCAATTAATTTCTTTCTTTTTTGGTAGAGACGGGGTCTCACTCTTGCTCAGGCTGGTCTCGAACTCCTGAGCTCAAACAATCCGCCCACCTCGGCCTCCCAGAGTGCTAGGATTACAGGCGTGAGCCACCGCACCCGGCCTATCCATTCACCTATTAAAGGTCATCTTGGCTGCTTCCAAGTTTTCACAATTATGAATTATGGCAATTAGGAATAAGGCTGTATCCTTGTACAAGTTTTTGTGTGGACATATGTTTTCAATTCATTTGAGTAGATACCAAGGAGCATGACTGCTGGTAAGAATATATTTAGTTTTGTAAGAAATTGCCAAACTGTTTTCCAAAGTCACTCTACTGTTTTGCACTCCCATCAACAAAAAATAAGAGTTCCTGTTGCTCCGCACTGCAAGCACTTGGTGTTGTCAGTGTTTTGAATTTTGGCCATTCTAATAGGTATGTAGTGGCATGTCATTGTTGTTGTAATTTGCAATTCCCTAATGACACATAGATGTTGAACATCTTTCCATATGATCACTTGCTATCTGTATATCTTCTTAGGGGAGGTGTCTGTTTGTGTCCTCTGTGTGTCCTTTGTGACTAACTGACTTACTTTACTTATTTATTTATTTATTTTTGAGACAGGGTCTCACTCTTTTGCCTGGGCTAGAGTGCAGCGGCATCATCATAGCTCAATGCAAGCTCAAACTCCTGAACTCAAAGGATCCTCCTGCCTCAGACTCCCAAGTAGCTGGGACCATAGGTATGTGCCGTCACACCACCACACCTGGCTGATTTTTCTATTTTTTGTAGAGATAGGGTTTCCCTGTGTTGCTCAGACTGGTCTTGATCTCCTGGCCTCAAGCAATCCTCCTGCCTCAGCCTCCCAAAGTGCTAGGATTACAGGTATGAGCCACCATACCTGACCTTTTGCTCATTTTTTAACTGGGTTATTTGTTTTCTTATTGTTGAATGTTAAGAGTTCTTTCTATATTTTGGATAATAATCCTTATTTATCAGGTGTCTTTTGCAAACACCTTCTCCCAGTCTCTGGCTTATCTTCTCATTTTCTTCACATTGTCTTTTGCAGAGCAGAAGTTTTTAATTTTAATGAAATCCAGCTTATCAATTATTTCTCTCACGGATTATGCCTTTGGTCTTACATCTAAAAAGTCACCACCATATGCAAGGTCATCTAGGTTTTCTGCCATATTATCATGTAAGAGTTTCAATTTTTGTGAAGGGTGTTAAGGTCCGTGTCTAGATTCATTTTCTTGCATGAGGATATCCAGTTATTCCAGCACCATTTGTTGAAAAGTCTATCTTTGTTCCATTGTATTGTCTTTGCTCCTTTGACTTTATTTATGTGGGTCTACTTATAGGGTCTCTACTCTGTTCCACTGATCTATTTGTCTATTCTTTTGTCAACAAGACACTATTTTTATTATTGTAGCTTTATATTAGTCTTGAGGTTGGGTAGCGTCGGCCCTCTGACGTTATTCTTGTTTAATACGGAGTTGGCCATTCTGCGTCTTTTGCCTCTCCTATGAGCCTTAGAATCAGTTTGCTGATATCCACAAAATAACTTGCTGGGATTTTTATTTAACTTTTCTGATTTTACTCTTATGTCTCATCCTTCTTATACTGAAAATCTTGATTCTCAATAACATTAATATAATTATTTACAGTCTTTGGTTTATCCTAAAAACTATGTAAAATAATTTCAAAATAACCATACTAGTTACCACTAGTATCACTAATATAAATTCAATTTAGGTTTTTTTTTTTTGGTGAGGGAGGGAGGTCTTCTGTTGTCTGAATATATCCCACTGGGAAGTACAGTTGAAATATTTTGTTTTAAAGTCACTTGAAGTAATCGGTTTCTTGATATGCTTGATATAGTTTCATTGGTTGTTTTTTCAATTTTTAAAAATTATTTTCCCCCATTTTTTTTTTTTAGTTAAGCAAAACATTTATACTATTCTAAAATCAAAACTATATTTAAAAAGCACATTCATTAGAAGTAACTATTTTTAGTTTTTGGTTTAAACATAAGCAAATACGAATGTATGTAAACATATATACATATAGGATACCTTATACAAAAGAGCTATAAATTGAGAATTTGTAGTCTTCCTGCATCTCTGCAGAGCAACTGAAAATTAGAGAATCAAATAGTTTTAGCTAATTATCCCTTTCACATCTTATTTTACCTTTCCCTGTTTAAAGAGCATCCATAAAAAAAAGATGACTAATCATTCAAAACATATAACATAGAACTAGAAATTCAATACCCAGATGAAAGCTTTACCTGTGTCTATTGTGAGGAGTATTTGAAGCATGTGTGCCATGGTGATCAAATGGAAGAGATAAAGGTGGTTGTAGGAAGAACTAACTGATGAAGGCTGCAGATCAACAGCGTCATCCCAATACAAGGATGGGAATGCTAACACAGCACCTACCTATGAGAGAAAAATGGATATCATGGGTAACAACAAAAGACCGATACAAATTAATCTCACAACTAAATGCGAAGGGCACCAGATGGTGCACTGTGTTTGTGAGTTTTTTTAAATAACCACTATATTTTTCCTACTTATTCAATAGAATATCTTGGAGTATAATGTATCATAAATGGAGGACAAAGGTCATCACCAAATAGGTGATCCCTTTGCTGGGTCTACTTATTCTAGGTCTAGGTAGTGGTTCTCAACAGCATAGTTCAGAAGATTCAATAATATAATCATTGGGGAGCTCTTAAAATAACACTGACACACAGGTCCCACCTCAGTCCAACCAAATCAGAATCTTTGGGAGTAGGACACAGTTTCCTATATTCTTTTCAAAGTTCCCCAGGACAGTCCAAAAGACAGTCAGGGTTGACAATCACTGGGCAGAGGCCTAGATGAGGGATGGGATGCCATAAACTCCATGCTCCCTGCCCCACCACTGCTTTCTCTACAGAACTTTGTGTGAAGAAATTAGATCATCACAGGAATGGAAAAGCTCTCTAAGAAACTCACAAAACAACTGCCACCCATTCGTAGCTGTTTTGGGGAAGCCTCGACGCATCCGTGGCCTATCCCTATCACCAAATAATTAACACTTATAACTTAAAGACAGCTCAGTGTCATTCACTGCTTCTAAGGTAAAGAAATTTAAAAAAAAGCCCAGTGGAGGTGGAGGAGGAAACATAATAGGAATTAGAAAAACCTTGCTTGTATAGACACCAACTAATATCAACTAAGACAAGATCTATTACAAAGTAATAGATATAAAGTAATACAAAGTAAAAAGTAAATGTGCTTTCATTTTTAAAGTGAATTTGACGGTCTCTGTCAAATCTATACTTATTCGTAAACAAAATGGACAGAAGAGACCAAACTTTATAGGTTCAACACCAATAATGTACAGTCTTGAACAGAGTATGAATTTGAATGAGGAAAAAACACAGAATTGTAAAGTTGAGTGACTTAAAAAATATTCCTGAACACTTACCAAAACATGAAACAGATCTATAGATAGAAGGCATGGTGTATCTTCTGATTTTAGATTAGGAAGAAGAACTGAAACAAACAAACAAAAAGTTTATATAATTTAGTAGATAGAAACATAGTTAAATAAAATGCAACCAAAAAACATCTAAAATGAACATATAACAGGGTTATAAAATACAGAAACTAGTATATCACACCTTTAAGATATGGGAATGATAATGAAAGACAATTTGAACTGAGAAAAGGTTCCTAGAAACTTGGACACAATTTAAGGGTTGAAAGATAAGATGTAGGAGGAAAAGGTAAGTGCAGCTGTCCCCGACCTTTTTGGCACCAGGGACCGGTTTCATGGAAGACAATTTTTCCACGGACAGGGGGTGGGGGGATGGTTTCGGGATGATTCAAGTGCATTACATTTATTGTGCGGTCAAACCTCTCTGCTAATGATAATCTGTATTTGCAGCCGCTCCCCAGTGCTAGCATCACCGCCTCAGCTCCACCTCAGGTCATCAGGCATTAGATTCTCATAAGGACTGCGCAACCTAGACCCCTTGCGTGCGTAGTTTATAGTAGGGTTCGTGCTCCTATGAGAATCTAATGCTACTGCTGATCTGACAGGAGGTGAAGCTTATGTAGTGATGTGAGTGATGAGGCTGTAAATACCGATGAAGCTTCGCTTGCTGGCCAGTGGCTCACCTCCTGCTATGCGGCCTGGTTCCTAACAGTCCACAGACCACTATTTGTCGATGGCCTGGGGGTTGGGGACTGAAGGGTAAGTGAACTAGAACAATGGAAATAGAGATTGTTCAAGAAATACTTCCTGAGTAAGAAGAATTACTTTTATACAATGTTCCCTCTATCACTTTTTGCCCCCAACTGCACATTTCTATATGTTCTATGATACATATATGTGAGCAAATTGGGGGCGGGGAGTAGAGAGAACATGCAAAGCCGGGTGGGTTAGATGAGGATGGAGACGATCCTCCTGAAAAAAATTAGAAAATAGTTTACAGACAGCTCAAAAGCTATCATCTTTCTAATTTGGTCCATCTCTAAGGAAAAGTAATAAATCCAGAAGTCAAGGAAAAAGGGGCAAAGAAGTGAAATCAAGAAGACAACAGAAGTGGTTTTGTATATATAAAAATGAGGGACTGAATTATATCCCAAGAAAGCTATTACTTTTTAAAATGAGGGAGAGAAGACTCTTTTCAGAGTAGATCAATTTCTTATTTTCTTTTTTTTTGAGACAGAGTCTCTCTCTGTTGCCTGGGCTAGAGTGCAGTGGCTTCAGTCTTGCTCACAGCAACCTCAAACTCCTAGGCTCAAGCGATCCTTCTGCCTCGACCTCCCAAGTAGCTGGGACTACAGGTATGCCCCACCGTACATGGCTAATTTCTTTCTATTTTTAGTAGAGACAGGGTCTTACTCTTGTTCAGGCTGGTCTCGAACTCCTGATCTCAAGCAATCCTCCTGCCTTGGCCTCCCAGAGTGCTAGGATTATAGGCGTGAGGCACCACACCCAACTTAGGTAAATTTCTTAACCTAGTTAAAAACAGTTGAAAATAGCTCTGTATTCTGGACTTTCCTTATTTCTTTTGAGCTTTCTATTACTAATTTTAGTTCAAAATCTGAAATACAGACTACTTGAACTACTACATCCAGATACATGTATTACCTCTAATTTTCCTTCCTTCAATCCAAACTATTCACTATCAAATTAACTTCAGAATACCATTGCCAAAACTTTTCAGAAATTCCCTAAAAAATAAAGTTCAAACTTCTCTTTGGGGCATGTAAGAGCCTATATTTTTATCAAAACAACTTCATGCTTCTCTATCTATAGATGCCACTACTCCTATCAAACTTGTCTATTTGAACATACTACACACTTTCCTATCTCCTCAATCTTTGTTCAAATATGTCCTATGCTTGGAATGTTGTCTTTATCTTCTCAACCTGCCTATGATGTGCCCTCCCTTCAAGGTTCAATTCAAATCCTACCCCAGGTTGGAGGAGATAACAGCAGAGCCCCACAGTGATCTCGTCTCAATTTTTGAAGCACATATTTGAGGCACACATGTGACATCTGGCTATTTTATAATGTGTGTTTTTACAGTAGTTCTGCTTCTTTAATTCAATCAAAAGCATTATAATGGCAGGGACTGTATCTTATATCTCATTATATAGTTTATAGACCTAATGCCTTACAAATAAAGATGCTTCTGCTCATAAATTTTCATATGAAAAACTTTCATATATAGGCACAAAGCTACATTACAGAGCAAAAGCACATCAATTCCACCAGTTACTGCTAACTAGAGATTACACACTATCATTTTAGTTTGGGCCATCTAGGATGTTAATCTCCTTGTTTGGTGTTTATTTTGAGGTGTTTTAAACATTATAAACCCCAAATGTGTGGTAAGTGTAAAAGAAGTGAGACTATTTGGAAGTATTAGTAAAACAAGGTACCTAAATTATGACAAATGAAAAGGATATCAAAAAATTAAAAAACAAAAACAGTAATATGCAAATGGAATAAACTGCTCAACAGTAGGAAGAGGTCTTGAGAACAAAGACAGCTTTATGTAACATATGGAAAGTTTTGGGCCTAGGCAACTGAACAACAAAGAGAAAAAAATGAAAAAAGGAAAAACTTTTAAGTGTATGGCTAGGGGAACAGCATCAAAATTAGATTTCTATTAGGATGAGGACCATTCAGGAGATAGCTAGAAGTTAATTTGAAAACATAAAATCTAAGCATGGTAAAAGTTCTAATGAAACTTGGCTTGCAGCCTTGGATGAAGCTGTGGAATCCCCACATCAACAGAGTGAGCAGAAAGCTGCTCAGGAAGAGTTCCCTAAGAAGCTGGTAGGGGACTGACAAGGAGGAAATTTACCTGCCTCAACAGATTTTCAAGGTAAAAAAAGATCTGTTTTGTTGGAAAAAAAATGCCTGCTAGTTCAGCCAGAAGAAGACTATGCCTGGCTTTTAAGGCTTAACAAACCTGAATAACTCTCTTATTTGGTAGAAATATATCTGGGAAGGAAGCTGAAACCCCCCTACCAGTGACATTTTGGACTTATGAACAAATAGATTTACAAATAGCCCTTTTTAAGGCTGACCTGTTGGGTACAGAGGTGCTCTTATACTAGACTTCAAATGCCCAAATAAAAATGCACATAACCAAAATGAAAGCAAAATCATTCTACTGCCATGTAACCGCTTATCCTTTTTATTTTTATATTAATTGAGAATGCCATATGAACTCTTAGTAAATTTCTAGCTTGTGAGAATCTGAGAAAACTAGGTATTATAGTCTGCCTCTCAAAGAAAAGGGCATGGGTCTGAGTTCTGAGAATACCACACTTACAATTTCTATTATTTTACATGACTTTGACTCACCAACAAAATTAAACATATTTTTTAAAATGATCTATTCACATCATTGCTTCCTTTTCTTTTCTTTTTTTTTTTTTGAGACAGAGTCTCATTCTGTTGCCCTGGCTAGAGTGTCATGGCGTCAGGCTAGCTCACAGCAACCTCAAACTCCTGGGCTTAAGCAATCCTACTGCCTCAGCCTCCCGAGTAGCTGGGACTACAGGCATGTGCCACCATGCCTGGCTAATTTTTTCTATATATTTTTAGCTGTCCAATTAATTTCTTTCTATTTTTGGTAGAGACAGGGTCTTGCTCTTGCTCAGGCTGGTCTCGAACTCCTGAGCTCAAACAATCCACCCGCCTCGGCCTCCCAGAATGCTAGGATTACAGGCGTGAGCCACTGCGCCCGGCCCCATTGCTCCCTTTTCTAACCAGATTGGGGATACAATAATGTTAGTAATTGTGGATATTGGCTTAATAACCCAGGTAGGTAGAAGGAACATAAATTGAAAATATTTGGAAAATACCGGATTTTTAAAATAAGATTACAAGTATTACAGGGACAGCTAGGCGTTTTATTTATTTTTGCAAGGCTGCTGTAAGCAGCAATATTTTATTAGTGAGTGCTCAAAATTAGTGCAGTGTGTTGTTCCCTAATGAAATATACACTGCTAGAAATGCAGTGGAAAAAGACATATAAATAATAACATAATAATTTAGAGAAGACTCTACCTGACAGGAGACGAACCAGATGTTTCTGTATCAGAATCTGAGGACAGGTAACCCTCTGTGCGATTGCAAACTGCATTAATGCTTTCAGACCATTATGCTAGAATGTAAGAAAGGGGAAGATAAAAAGATAAGGAAAGATGACAGACCTAAGTCATTCACTGTAAAAACCAATTCTAGTCTGTCAGAATTAGTTGCACACTTGTTATATACTTCACATTTTTGCAAATAATACAATATTCTTAATATCTATAAAAAGTTTTATGACTGAAACTAAATTTCTAGATTTTCTCATGACAAAGAGGTATTACAACTATAATCATTTTAATTCCCATTTAAGTACTCATTTTCCCCAGAGCTGAGCACATTGTAGAGCACAAGTGCCTTGTGCCAGCTGTCAAAAAATAAGAGGGAAATGGCAAGGATGGGGGTGGTCTAGGGAAACCTTCGTTGCCCCTTTGGTCTTCACAGGGATACTGAGCACATTTCTTGAGTATTGTTTTCCACGGTCCCCTACGTTATGAGGCTTAGGCCTGAGGCAGGAGTATAGTCCTCTAGCATTGTCAGGATCTGCCCATCAAGGACAGCTTAGTTTTATTCTTGAATCAGTGTGATGATTTATCTAGAGTTAAGCATTAATACACAATGTTATATGAGGGAGAAAAATATAGAAGACACTAGTATTCTTATTTGCAATAAACAAAGAAAGGAAGAAAAAGTAATCAAGTATCACCTGAAATCTCTGTGTGAATTACATTCAACCTCCTAGATTGAGTGAGCTCTGTAAAGTGCACAACACTGGCCATTCAGTTTCCTGTGAGACTGAAGCAGTTCCATTTTCCCCCCATACAGAATTCTGCTAATTTTTACAAAAAAGGAATTAAAAAAACTTTTTTTTAAGAGACAGGGTCTTACTGTTGTGCAGGCTGGAGTGCAGTGGCTATTCATATGCATAATCATAGCACTCTACAGCCTCAAACTCCTGGCCTTAAGCAATCCTCCTGCCTCAGTCTCCTGCGTAGCTGGGATTACAGGCAGGTACCACCGCACTCAGCTCAAGATTTTTAAAAAACTGATAAATTAACTGTGGAAACAAACAAAGAAAAAAAAGAGTTACATGTACCCTGTTGGAGTATACATACCTGCCTGTTTTGAAGTGCTCCAAACAGCGGTTTTCCTTCATCTCCCAATAGGTTTTCTCAAATAAAGAAAAACATAAAAATAATAAATCCTGTATACTGCTACAATTGTATAATGTACTTATTGTTTATCAAATGTTCTTTAATTATATTTTTGATCAGATGATTTGCACTTTTCCCCTCCATAGTCCCATGTTTTAAGCCTGTGCCAAAATTTTCCAATTTTTGAGTGAGATAATATTAAGCAAACGTACTACGATAAATATTAAAGTCCCTGCAGCAATCTATAAAGAATGCTTGGGAAAAACAAAGCAGCCTGGTTTGTTTTTCCTCATTTTAGAATCTTTTTTATTATAGAGTATGATATTTTAAAAAAAGGATCTCTTTTATGCAAAAAAATTTTAAGTAATTTTTACATATAATCATAACCTATTTTGTTTAAAAATAGTATGTTAAGGCAGATGCAAGTAATTTTATTGCTCTCTTAGGTACAATTTTAAAAGAATTAGAAAAGATTATAGGAAAAAAAAAGATGAAAATACCAAAACTGTGGATTTAGAAATATATTTTGCCTTGTCAAGGGTATTTATTGCTAAATTACTCTTATTTTCACTGATCCCTGGTGGCAGATATATCCATGAAGGCTTATGTCCTATTTTCTTTTTCCATCTTTGAATGGACAGTAATTAAGGACCCTTTGTTTTGATTCCTCAGCTATTATACTATGACGATACATCCTGTACATGTCACACCATTCCCATAGGGAATGAGATAAATTAGCTGCTTATGTACCAAGAATGAAGTAGAACATTATGACTGTTCAATGAAAAAAGCACTATAGTGAACGCAATACTATATTGATCAAATAGAATCCAATTACTTGATCATAGAACCATATATGAAAAGATTCAGTTCTATCTGCACTGAACTTCTCATTTCCTTTCTAATAAACTGTCACTTTTTTAACGTTAAAGGTCTAGTGTTGTAAATCTGCTGCTTCTTGACTATAGTTTACTTCATGCTATCCCTTTAACATATTTTTAACTTATGTTGCATATGGCTACAACTGTACTTAACAAAAGATCTATACAAAAAAATTTTCAGACCAAATGGCATCAGGCCACACTAATATATTGAAATACTACTAATTCTCAAACAAGTAAAATTATTCTGGGCTATCAAGGAAAAAAAGGAATAATTTTTAAAATTAACAATCAATTCTGTTTCATCAAAACCTCCAAACCAGTTTTCCTATAGGCTTTACCAATTGCCTGGATAGTGAAAGCACATGTACTCCAGGTCATCATGGGGATTCGAGGATCTGTTTCATCAGGAGGCACTTTCAGTCCAATTCTATAAATTGTTGTGGCAAAGAGAATGACCATTTCCTTGATGCTATTAGAATATTTAATCCTAAAAATAAAAGAAAAATTCGTATAATGATTTTAGTAAAAGGGACTGCTTACTGAGAAGTCCAGTTAGATTTCTAACAATTTAACAATTAATTCCTTTTGACATAAGTAAAATGCTCTTTGACAAATTAGAGAATAGAGCCTCTGCAGATTTATTCAATAAGGAAAAATGAGAAACGCAGACCTGTATTTCCTAAAGGTAGAAAAATACCCCTTACAAAATGGTAATAACCCATATAACTTCACTTCCTGTTAAAAATGTGGAAAACGATCACAGCTAGAAGGGTTCCAGTCCAAACTAAAGGACAGACTAGACAGGGGAATACTATTCAGAGGAAACAGATGTGACCTAACAAGTTACAGTGTTTGGAAAAGGGACAAAGAAGTACTTTTGTGTTGATGGCAGTGTGTGTGTATGTGTTTGTGCTGTCTGTATGTGTGATATTACCATGTACTTGGAGTGATAATTTCTGATTTTCTGAACTTCCATTTGTAACAAGTATTTTTTTTTTTGAGACAGAGTCTCACTCTTTTGCCTGGGCTAGAGTGCCATGGCATCAGCCTAGCTTACAGCAACCTCAAACTCCTGGGCTCAAGCAATCCTTCTGTCTCAGCCTCCCGAGTAGCTGCGACTACAAGCATGCGCCACCATGCCCGGCTAATTTTTTTTTTCTATATAGTTTTAGTTGTCCGATTAATTTCTTTCTATTTTTAGTAGAGACGGGGTCTCGCTCTTGCTCAGGCTGGTCTCGAACTCCTGAGCTCAAACAATCTGCCCGCCTCAGCCTCCCAGAGAGCTAGGATTACAGGCGTGAGCCACCGCGCCTGGCCTGTAACAAGTATTTGGGATAGATAACATTAACAAGGACCATAACTAGAGAAAGTACGCTAGGTAGGTCATATTCTTGAAATAATAATACCTGATCCAGGTACATTATATTTTTCAAAGTGTCTTCATATTAAATCTCTCTCCAATAACTTTATGAGGTAGGTTAGAAGGCCATGGCCTAATTTTTACATACACAAAAAAAATGGTAGTGGGGTGAGACTTCTCAGAATGTCACGGAACGAGTTAGATGTAATTTTAAATGAGGTCTCTTAAATTCTGGTAGGTTGGACCATATAGAATTGGCATTTTTGTTGGTCAAAAATGGTTATTCAGAGGCATAGTTCACCCTAATAATATATTACTTTAACATCTCAAACCACTTAATTTACTAATGCAAATCAAAGAAACAAGAGAAAGAAACAAGATAAAAACGGGATAAAAACAATTTTACAAATTAAGGGGGGAAGGAAATAAGGAAAGAATGAAGGATTGTTTTCCACTCTTATTTTCAGAACTATTTACAAATTTCTCTTAACTATTGAAATACTTACGAAGACTGAACTCCGAAATTCAGGATGGAATGGAACTCAAAAGTAGAATCTCCCATTCCTTGATTAAACAAGACAGGAATTGTTGGGTTTTCTCCTTATAAATTGAAAAAAAAAAGAAAGAAAGAAAAAGAAAGAAAGAAAAATCATGAATGGGTTTAGTCTGACATACACTTTTCCAGCTTTTTAAAATTATATATGATCATTTTAGAAAACTCAGAATAGGCTAATAAGCAATAAACAATCAACCGAAATTTCTCCAACCAGATAACCACAGTTAACATTTAGGTAATATTCTTCTGTTCTTGTAAGTGTTACATATATAGATTTCTAAAAATACAGTACTGTTCTGCATCTGCTTTTTCACCTAATAAATTATAAATATCTTTCCACATCAGTGATTCTCCCTCTGTATGTCCATGTTTAATGACTGTCTAAGTATTATCTTAGTAAGGCAGCAAATATTAGTGAAGAAGAGTAAAGAATCTGGAGCCAAGCTACTAGGGTTTGAATCCCAGCTCCGCCACTTACTATTATTAAGACCTTGTCTGATACTAAACCTCTCTCTGGCTCCACTTCCTCATCAAATTAGAAATGTTATTCCCCTATATGGGGAATAGGCCAAAATGACAAATTTCTCTATATGGAATGGATTGTTTTTCTCAGCTTGTTTTCAAGACTTTTTTCTTAATCTCTTGTTTTCAGCAGTTTGGTTATGATGTGTCTGAATGTGGTTTTCTTTGTCCATTTGAGGTTCACTGAACTTCTTAAATGTATAAATTTTTCTTCTATAATACCAAATTTGGGAAGTTTTCAGCTGTTATTTCTTCAAATATTTTTTCTGCACCATCTTTTTTCCTTTCTTTTTTGTGAGTTCAATGACACAAATGTTTGATTAAAAAAAATTGTCCCATAGGTTCCTAAGGCTATGTTCTTTTTTTCCCCCTCCATCTCTTTTCTGTTCTTCAGATTAAATAATTTCCACTGATCTAATTTCAAATTCACTAACACCTCCTCATTTCCCATCTATTTATTGAGCCCATGTAGTTTATTTTTATTTCATACAGTATTTTTTCTTTTTTTTTTTTTTTTTTTT